TCTGCTTTACTGACAGCTTTTTCACATCCATGTTTGGAGTTAACATTTTCTTTCGAAGACCGGCCCCCGATGTCATCCTGAGCATGGCTTCAGTCCCGGGAGCCTTACAGTCGTCAGGCCTACATGGTTTCGATTCCTCACAAGTTGAGTTTTCTTGGTTAAGAAGATTCAGTTTCTCTCACCTCCAGTGGTTAAACTACTATCTCAGAGCTTTCTTCTCCTCAGGATAATCCATGCTGTATCCCAAGAGTCCCATCTGCTGCGCGCTTTCAAATATTTTGCATTGAAAGTGACATTTTTATAGATAAGCTGCTATATAGTAACGCTCAGATCAGCCACTCTTAAAAGCCTATATGAGTCAAACCTCGTGGTAGTTTCCGTTTCCTCACTGGCCTCACTCCAGAGCAGCATTATCTACACATCACATCACACAAAACCACCTTGTAAATAATCATATTACTTTACCTTGTGACATCAGTCCCAAAGGAAAAGATCCCCGACGTTAGAGCGCTCGGGGATTGTGTCGGGGGCGTGAGGGGTTAAGACTTGTTGAATAGCTGGTGGGCGTCACACAATGAGGTGGATTAAGCAGCACTAGAAAAGGCCTTTAGGGCTTTACTGGGGTGTTCAGCAGCTTACATCGCCTTCAATAACACTGCAGCACAGATCCAGCTGGGTGACTGAGGCTAGCCTGTAGGGTAAGAGCCTGGAAGTATTGATCAGCGGTGTGGGAAGAATGGAGGTGGAAGGAAAAATAAAATTAGCAGAGCTTTTTGGGTTTACAGGAAGAATTAAACGATGGAAATGCTGGTAGGGTAAAAAAATAAAAAGTAGAACTCCTTCGGGTCCACCTGAAGGAGCCCAACACTGTGATGCATGCTGCGATATTGTGCGTTCATGTGTCAGACAGAAAGTGTGTATTAAAAGGAGATTGGCCTTTTAAACCAGTATCAATGTAACCATCCCAGCGTCACCAGTTTACATCTTAAAATCTCAACTTCAGTGTTATTGGCGCTGCAGTGCTGATGTCTCGGTGAATGGAGCGCGGTTTTCCCAGATACTAATTAAATCACCAGTACCATATTATCTGAGCCCAGAACAACCAGCAGTTCTCATCTCTGCTTGGAATTACTGCAGCATTTCTCCCAGTGTAGCGTTGGGAAATTAAAGAGGAAGGGGTTGGGAGAGGCTGGGATCTCACCACAGTGTGGCACATTGCATGTTAGCCGGGATAATAACAGTTGCGGTTTGTCTTAGGTTTCCTGAGCTAAAGTAAGAAGCTTCCACTTCCTGCAAAGCCACCATGACAAAGACAGTATCCACATTAGCTCCTGAACATCTGCAGGACGCAGGGACGCATTAAACTGTGGTTTCATGTCACCACGCTATGAATTTGAACTCAGTCTTAAGCAAATTAGGATTTTTGTTCATCCCGAGGTCAGTCGCGTTTCCTGCAGTTAGTTTCAAACGGCTGAAGGATTCAGAGCGTTACGTTCCGGCCCAGGAAAAACTCGGAGTGACAACAGTTTTAGAAAAACGTCGATCACAGCAGCGCCTATAAACAGCTGTATTTACCTTTATTTTCACTCTGGTTGAGAACATTGTGTCACTAACACAAGAATGACCGAAACACATCTCGTACCTACCAGCACGCCTTTCTGTTCATATTGAAGGCCATTCTGGAGAGTTAGAATAACAAATCACTGCACAGGAGTGAAGAAGTAATAATTTACTAAACCAAAAGAATAGTTATTAAATATAATGCTTTGCAGTTTGATCCTCGTTGAATCGTCGACTCCTTCCTCTTGCCAATGTGATGTTTCGTGTCCCTGAGCGTCTGTGGGATGAGAACATTTGATCGTCTCTAGTCTACGGCCTGAGCCGTGAGCATGCGCGCGTCTCCTGTAAATGCATTATCAAATCCTGCTCTCAGTTTGTCAATGACAGCCGTGCTCCGTCACAGATGCGCAGTGCTGTGTATTTGCAGGGCGGCGACCGGTGTCAGCAGAGCGTCCGGGAAGCAACAGCAGATTAAACGCAGCTAGAAGCCTGACGGATGTCACTGTACACTGCATGCATCGCAGTCTTAATACTGCGTTGCCGCTTTTGCGCACGCCATCCCATCCACATGTCTATGGATGTGTTTTACAGCATATAATAACAGTAATAAGTTCCTTATGGAGGGATTTTTTACCAAAGTAGCTCGGTCATTCCACAGTGAGGGACGCTGAAGGGCTGGGAGGGGGTCAGCCATGCGACATGTCAGAAATATGCCCTGTGTCACCCAGAGAGTTGAGTCCCAGAATAACTGATGTCCACTCATACTGTGGGTTATTCCCACAGATGTGGATTTCATCTGTCTGACACAAAAGCAGGTCCGCAGTGGTCTGATGAGTAATCGCGGTGGAGCAATAAGAAGGGAAACTCCTGGAACCTCTGTGCTGCCTAAAAATCCCTTTTTGACTCTCTGTGAAGTGAAGCTGTTAAAGTCCGATGTTTCGTGCTGTTACACTCACATCTGCTCTAGTGTTTAGACTTGATCGTGTATGTTATTGTGTCTTGCTAAAATACTTTGAAAATAATTAGAAGTAGATTTTGTAATATTATGATACGATCCATAGACCACCAACCAAAGTACCTCCATCTGCTGAGCAGACACGGTACAAACTCACAATGTGTTTGATGTGTGAATTTAGCCCTCAGTCAGCCATCATTTAGCATGTTGGTCATCAACAATGTGAGAATTCCCCATGTAGATTATCCAAACATTTTCTTTTAAGGGAAAACTCTCAGTGCTCGCCCTGAAATGTTGGTAATAATCCCATTAAACATGAAAACTTGATGGAAGCCCAACTACAAGAACTACAGTAGGTTCAAGTTAAAGCACGACAGTAGCCTGTGCTCTGTGGCGGGAGCATTCAGAAAGATTGATAAGGGCCGTAGGGCTGCCACAAACGATTATTTTGATAGTCGACTAATCAGATCATCATCCATTGGAC